CCTTGTAAAAAGATAACAACAGAAGGTAATTCAAGACGCAGCTGCAGTACCACAAAAGTTTATTATTTGAAGCTGGACAAAAACAAGGAAAGAGTTTGTTTAAAAACATTTTTACAAACGTTAGGAATAAAGGAATGGACTGTACGCTACAGAACATGTTGATAGATCGGCACCGATGAAACAGTCAATTGAAGAGTTTTTGACAGCGCTTCCTAAATTACCCTCACATTACTGCCGCAAAAACAGCATGAAACTATATTTGGAGCCCATAATTCAGTCTAAACGTGAACTCTACCTTTATACGTAAATGAGGCACGTAAAAAGTCACAGCGTGTGTCAAGAACATTTTTTGAGGATGTTTTATCTGAACAAAACATAAGCATTTTCCAGCCTAAAAAAGATGCGTGTGACTTATGTTGTGCTAATGAAGCCGGTAACGTTTTAGATGAAATATACGAGATGCATATTTCACGTAAAATTTTAGCACGAAGTGAGAAGATTCATGACAAAGAGAGGGCAAAGAGCGGCGAAATACATACCCTTATATCATATTATTGTATTTAACTGTTGATGATTTGGGATTTACTAAATAAAATAATCACTGTGTCGTGTACATCCTGTTTTACTCTCCATTATCCACAGACAATACATACCCAATCTATAGTCTATTCTCAGTAGTGTTGTCACATTACAATAATGTTACATCTTTCCTTTTAACAAATTAATTAAAAGATATAAATAATACATGTGTTATCCAGTTGATTCTGATACAAAACTCTAGATGAATATGAACAAAACAATTAGCATAACTATAATTAATTAACCCTGCACATAATCTTCTAAGTATTTAGGAAGCCTAATAGCTCTACCTTTAATTGACCTTTTGCAATTATTTTATGATGTATGATTTATTTAAATTATCTTCCATTCTATTTTCTACAATGCAGCTAGGTTCTATGCTGGTTTCATTCTGTGATAGAAGTTTATTATTAAGTGCGTCCTGGTGACTTACATTCTCATAACAATCATTAAATCCTGTATGTTCAACTTCTATAGCCTCATTGAAACTATTAAACTTTGGATATTGTATTTCTTTAACACCACTTCCAACAAACTTATAACTTATGGTTTCACTTAATTTCAATTGATAGAACGCTTAATACAGTCTAATTTACTGAATACCTTAGCGTTTGCCATTTTTGCAGCAATTTCTTCAAATGTTGGTAATTTAAAATGTTCTCTTAATAGACAAGAATTGAGATATTGTGGGTCAAGACATATGCGAAGCGAATTATCATTAATTTTTTCTTACTATTACCACTGCATTTACAAAATCTGTGGGATCTTCTATTCTTCTTATTATTTTATTTTCCTTCATATTTTGCAACTCTTTTTTATATGCATCCAATAGCTTCATGGGAACCGGTCGACAAGGAATTACTTTCCCTGTGTAGTTCGGGATCAACTTGAAATCATAAACATAATCCTTCAGTTTTCCTATTCCTGTAAATGAATTAGAGTATTGCTTTATAATATCTTGTTTTTGTATTTCCCCTAATAATATCATTAAATTTAATTTTTGTATGGTTGGCAATCCTATCAATGGAGATGAATCACAATCTACAATATGAAATTTCAAAACATGTTTTTTATTTTTTATGATACATGATAAATCGAATGTGCCTAGTAAATTAATTTGTGAGTTATTGTAATTTCTAAGAATAGAGCTTGACATATTTAACTTTTTATGAATTCCCAAACTGTCCAACATTTTTTTAAATATTACATTTGTTCGGGATTCTTATACAGGGTGACAGGTAAAGCGATACATTCCTTGATAGGGGTTAAAGTAGAGCTTATTTGCAGTCATTTAAGTCATATGACACCATGTCCGAAACTTGTTAATTTCCAAGTTATTCAAGATTTAAGTATTTTTTAAAAAATCTCCAGTTTTTATGTTAAAATGTACCCTTGTAATGAAGGATACGGAATAATGTTAACTTTTTTGTTGTATTCGTATAGCTAAATAATAAGATTGACATTTTAAATTAAAATTTGCAAGAAAGAATCATCATTACTCAAGTAAAAGCTAAAAAACCATGTATCATTTTGCAAAAAAAATATGTCTTAGGTAATTAAACGAAGAATTTCCAAGAAAAAATGTATGGAATGTTGTGTACAAATTACAGAATTTAGTTCCTTGATTCATTAGCTATTCAAAAAGCTACAGGTGTTTAATAAAAACTACATAATTATTTTTTTATTTGAATTTAAACGTCTAGTAAAATACTTTCATAAAAAAATTCATAAATAAAAAAGTCACACTAACAACTATTCTTGGGTCTCAATAAATGAAAAACTTAGTATTTTAATAATAATTGTATCACCTAATTTTATCTAGGTACATTATTTTAAGTCCTGCTCAAACTGTGAGCCCCGTCTTCTAATACAAGCTCGTAGTCTGTTTCTCACTTTTGTTTTTGTGACTCTTGTTGTCAAACTGCTGAATATCTTGAGCTGCCCTCTGAATGCGCTCACGAAGCTCTTGCTCGTTGTTTACGGGGGTTACATACAAGAGATACTTTCATGTGACCTCATAAATAAAAATCGCAAGAGGTCAGATCCGGACTTCTGGCTGGCCAAGGAATGGGTCCACCGCGCCCAATCCAACGAAGTGGATATTGTTGATCCATCCATTGGCGTACACTGAGACGAAAGTGTGCTGTGTGTGAAAGCTTCGTTTGCGCATTCAGAGGGCAGCTCAAGATATTCAGCAAAGTTTGACAACAAGAGTCACAAAAACAGAAGTGAGAAACAGACTACGGGCTTGTATTAGAAGACGGGGCTCACAGTTAGAGCAGGACTTAAAATAATGTACCTAGATAAAATTAGGTGATACAATTATTATTAAAATACTAAGTTTTTCATTTATTGAGACACAAGAATAGTTGTTAGTGTGACTTTTTTATTTATTATTTTTTTTATGAAAGTATCTTACTAGACGTTTAAATTCAAATAAAAAAATAATTATGTAGTTTTTATTAAACACCTGTAGCTTTTTGAATAGCTAATGAATCAAGGAACTAAATTCTGTAATTTGTACACAACATTCCATACATTTTTTCTTGGAAATTCTTCGTTTAATTACCTAAGACATATTTTTTTTGCAAAATGATACATGGTTTTTTAGCTTTTACTTGAGTAATGATGATTCTTTCTTGCAAATTTTAATTTAAAATGTCAATCTTATTATTTAGCTATACGAATACAACAAAAAAGTTAACATTATTCCGTATTCTTCATTACAAGGGTACATTTTAACATAAAAACTGGAGATTTTTTAAAAAATACTTAAATCTTGAATAACTTGGAAATGAACAAGTTTCGGACATGTTGTCATATGACTTAAATGACTGCAAATAAGCTCTACTTTAACCCCTATCAAGGAATGTATCGCTTTACCTGTCACCCTGTAGATAGCTACTCGATGAAGGAGACACTGTTTCGTGTTTCAAACGGTTTACTACAAAGAATATCTTGTTACAAGGAAATACATTAAAATTGCGTAGTTGCTCTGATGTGAACGGTGCAAAAAAACAAAAGATGTGACAGGCGCGCGCGGGGGCCCAGCGGGCGCGGGCGGTGGGGCACGCGGCGTAGTGATGTTCTTGTGAACAACATTGCAACCGGCACCTGTGTCTAATTTAAATGTAATATTTTTATTGCAGTCCTGTAGTTTTAACTGCAATGTCCAGTCAGTGTATACTGTACCCAATGTATATTCTTGATTTGTTTCTTGCTGAGGATTCTGCTGTATTTCCTTTATGTTGTGATCCTGCATTCGATTCCTACAGTCAGTAGAAAAATGGTTCATCTTCTTGCAATAATTACATTGTTTGCCATATGCCGGACAACGACGTGGAGGGTGTTGATATCCGCAGCTTTTACATTTGAATGTTCTACTCATAGGTTGTTGGCGATGATCTCTATTTAGTTTGTCAATATCTTTCGAGTCTTCTTCTGTCAGTTTTCTCATATATTGCGTCGCTATTTCTGCGGTCTTACACATATTTATGCACTTTTCTAATGATAGTTCTTGCTCTCTTAAGAGTCAGTAGTGTTGTCACATTACAATAATGTTACACCTTACAGCCGATTCGCAAGCTGTGAAATTGTGCCCAGATCTAAAGGCAAGTGCATTGTATTTTAAAACGAAGCTTGCTGTGCACATTTTCACTGTTTAAAATTTAGGAAACGACAAGGTAATCTGCTATTAGTTTGACGAGACAGCGAGTGATTTAAAGGCGAGTACCTATGCTTCTTTCTTCACGGATTATTTAAAGCGAGTTTTAGACGAAGATCCAAAAGATGTTTTAATTTATTCAGATGGATACCCATCTCGCAATCGCATCTCGCAGGTACACACCTCGCAAAATAGGAATGTTATCGTTTCTAATGCTATTCTACGCTTGGCATGTTGAAAAGAATGTCGTTATATATCAAAAGTTTTTAGAAAAAGGACACACCCAAATGGAGGTTGACTCGGTGCACAGGGTGCACTCTGTTATTGATCGAAAGCTGAAGAACCGTGAAATTTTCTTACCCAGTCAGTATGCTGCTGTTTTGAAAGAGGCTGAAACCATTCCCCTATGACATCATCATAGCAGATTTCAGTTTCTTTAAGGATTTCGCGAATAAAGAAAGTTTAATTTATGACTATTAAGACCCGGTCGTGCTACAGGCGAAAATCGTGTTGTAGAAATTAGGCTTCTCAAATATAATCCTGATGGCACCATAGAACACAAGTTGAACTTTGATGATGAGTTGGAGCCTTTGCCACGACGTCCAAAAAAGATTCCTCCAACAGTTGAAAGATCGCTCTATACCGCACCACTGCCAATCTCACAAACTAAATACAATCATTTGCAACAGTTAAAACAAGTTATACCTCAAGACTGTCATGGTTTTTACGACAGTTTAACTTACAGGTCAGGCGATTCATGCGTCGCGTGCGAAGCGAGGGTCGAGGGTGGTTCGGTGTCATATTAGCCTACTCAGACTGTCGCCGTTACCTTGGCATCGACGGAACTACCACATTACGTGTACCTCAACTCCTGGAGGTACGAGGTCAGTGTTTACCTCCCGCCAGTAAAGCAACGTTTACATTGTCTTAAGTTTGGGCACATTGCCAAATAATGTAAAAATGCAGAAGTGTGCTCCGTCTGTACACAAAATCATGATTTCAAAAACTGCAAAGAGGATCCCAAAACCGCCAAATGTAACACAAAGCAATATCTAATACGTGTCCCCAAAAAAATCGATGAAAACAAAATTAAATCATAAACAACCAAATTTTCAGATTTATTTAACGAAAATTCATTCCCGCAACTAACAATGAGAAACATTGAAACACAAGTACAAAACTTGACTAAATCAGACTTTTTTATGACCATTTTAACCAATGCTATAACTAAAATCATAATTACTCAAAAAGACAAACCTATAAACTTTTCATCAATCAAAGAAATATTACAGCACACAATCAGAAATAGCTCTACTTTACGTAATAATAATGGATCTTAACTTAATGGAACGCCCGAAGCATTATTAGTAATAAACTTTTATTAACTCGTTTTCTATATGGTCAAATTGAATTTCTATGAACAAAATAATAAATACTTCCACTACCGCATCTGCCGCTGCGCCTAACAACTCGATAGTGACTAATATTAAAGTTGTAATCAGACAGCTGCTACCGTTTTGTACCTTTCGGCGTGGAAACACTGGGACCTTGGGGCCCGGAGGCCAAAAAGCTTTTCACTGAGCTTTCCTCCCGCAGCATCGAGGTTACCGGTAACCAGAAGGCCGGGTTCTACCTTGGCCAGCGTTTAAGCCTAGCGATCCAACGCGGAAACGCTGCCAGCCTTTTGGGCACCGCTAACCTCACCGACAGATCTGGGGATAGGGATACTTTTTTAATTTAACTTTTATTTTCCTTTTTTTTAAATATTGCATTTTTTTTTGTATAGTTTAGTTTTTAAGTTTGTAAATTACTTGTACAAATTTTTGTACAGTCGCGGAATGAAAAGGTTCGTCACCTTAGTGTCGGTTTTCGCTTGCACTAGGTACTGTAAGAGTCAAACCTGCCAACATAACAGTGCAAGAAACAGTGCTGCTANGTCTTTTGCGCAAGCGTCTTTTCGCGCAAGTGTCTTTCCCACTTGTGTCTTCGCCCAAGTGTCTTTCGCGCAAGTGTTTCATGCTAGCGTCCATGCGCGCAAGTGTCTTTTGCACAAGTATCTTTCGCGCAAGTGTCTTATGCTCTAGTGTCTTTCGCGCAAGTGTTTCATGCTGGTGTCTTCCGCGTTAGTATCTTTCGCGCTTGTGTCTTCGCCCCAGTGTCTCTCCGCTCTTGTCTTCGCGCGCCCTCCTCCCAGGCCGCCGCCTCCAAGAGGCAGCAGTAAAGTACCTCGGCGTGAGCTCGGCGGGCGCGCGCGGCGTGGTGCGCGCGGAGCACGTGAGCCGCGACGAGGCCGGGCTGCGCGAGCTGCTGCGGACTGGCTACTTCCGCGCCGCCGTCAACCTCACTGCCGGGCTGCTAGCGGCCGCTGGACAGGGTGAGATAGAGATACACTGCCTTAGAGCGCTAGAGTGAGACCACAATAGGGAGCTGCTGCGGACTGGCTACTTCCGCGCCGCCGTCAACGTCACTGCCGGGCTGCTAGCGGCCGCTGGACAGGGTGAGCGAGACAGCGATACACTTCCTTAGAGCGCTGTTGGCTAGAGTGAGATGGCAGATACTTCCCTTAGGAGCTACACACACTCCAAGAGGTGGCAGTGAAGAATCATAGAATAAGCTCAACGCGCGCGTCTTGGTTATGACTTTCAGCAAGTGTCTTTGGCGCTAGTGTCTTTCGTGCAAGTGTCTTTCGCGTTAGTATCTTTCGCTCGCAAGTGTCTTTCGCGCAAGCGTCCGTTCCCGCAAGTGTCTTTCGCTCGAGTGTCTTACGCGCAAGCGTCCACACGCTCAAGTGTCTTTTCGCGCAACTGTCTTTCACGCAAGTGTCTTTCCCACTTGTGTCTTCGCCCAAGTGTCTTTCGCGCAAGTGTTTCATGCTAGCGTCCATGCGCGCAAGTGTCTTTTCGCGCTTGTGTCTTCGCCCCAGTGTCTCTCCGCTCGTGTCTTCGCGCCTTCCTCCCAGGCCGCCGCCTCCAAGAGGCAGCAGTGAAGTACCTCGGCGTGAGCTCGGCGGGCGCGCGCGGCGTGGTGCGCGCGGAGCACGTGAGCCGCGACGAGGCCGGGCTGCGCGAGCTGCTGCGGACTGGCTACTTCCGCGCCGCCGTCAACCTCACTGCCGGGCTGCTAGCGGCCGCTGGACAGGGTGAGACGACAGAGATACACTTCCTTGGAGCGCTGTTGGCTAAAGTGAGATGGCAGATACTTCCCTTAGGAGCTACACACACTCCAAGTGGTGGCAGTGAAGAATCATAGAATAAGCTCAACGCGCGCGTCTTGGTTGACTTTCAGCAAGTGTCTTTCGCGTTAGTATCTTTCGCTCGCAAGTGTCTTTCGCGCAAGTGTCTTTAGCGCATGTGTCTTTCACACAAGTGTCTTTCGCGCAAGCATCTATTCCCGCAAGTGTCTTTCGCCCGAGTGTCTTACGCGCAAGCGTCTATGCGCGCAAGTGTCTTTCCACGCTTGTGTCTTCGCCCCAGTGTCTTTCGCTCTTGTGTTCGCGCGCCTTCCTCTCAGGCCGCCGCCTCCAAGAGGTAGCGGTGAAGTACCTCGTTACGTCTAACTACACTTCCTTAGAGCGCTAGAGTGAGATCACAATAGAAAGCTGCTGCGGACTGGCTACTTCCGCGCCGCCGTCAACCTCGCCGCCGAGCTGCTAGCGGCCGCTGGACAGGGTGAGCGAGACAGCGATACACGTCTCTTAGTAGACAGGGACACTGCAAGCGAACAGCGAAGTGGCACAGAGCAAGCTCAACGGGCTCGCTGCGTGTGACTTCAGGCAAGTGTCATTCACGCAAGCGTCTCGCGCTAGTGTCTTTCGCTGGGCTGCTAGCGGCCGCTGGACAGGGTGAGACCCTTAGGAGACAGGGACACTGCAAGCTGACAGCGAAGTGGCACAGTGCTCTGTGCCCAACGGGCGCGCTCCAGGGGACTCAGGCAAGTGTCTATAGGCGCAAGTGTCTTTCGCCCGAGTGTCTTACGCGCAAGCGTCCATGTGCGCTAATGTCTTTCGCGCAAGTGTCTTTCGCCCGAGTGTCTTACGCGCAAGCGTCTATGCGCGCAAGTGTCTTTCCACGCCAGTGTCTTCGCCCCAGTGTCTTCGCCCCAGTGTCTTTCGCTCTTGTCTTGACTGGCTACTTCCGCGCCGCCGTCAACCTCACTGCCGGGCTGCTAGCGGCCGCTGGACAGGGTGAGCGAGACAGCGGAGCGCTGTTAACTAGAGTGGGATGGTACTTTCTTTAGGAGCTCGCAGTGAAACGTGCAACGGGCGCGCTGCATGTGACTCAGGCATGTGTCTTTCGCGCTCGTGACTTCAATGAGGTGTCTTACGCGCTAGTGTCTTTTGGGCAAGTGTCTTTTGCGCAAGCGTCCGTTTGCGCAAGTGTCTTTCGCGCAAGCAATAGGGAGCTGCTGCGGACTGGCTACTTCCGCGCCGCCGTCAACCTCACTGCTGGGCTGCTAGCGGCCGCTGGACAGGGTGAGACGACAGACCCTTCGGAGGACAGGGACACTGCGAGCTAACAGCGGAGTGGCACAGAGCAAGCTCAACGGGCGCGCTGCGTGTGACTTCAGGCAAGTGTCTTTCGCGCTTGTGACTTCGGGCAAGTGTCTTTCGCGCTTGTGACTTCGGGCAAGTGTCTTCGCGCTTGTGACTTCGGGCAAGTGTCTTCGCGCTTGTGACTTCGGGCAAGTGTCTTTCGCGCTTGTGGCTTCGAGCAAGTGCCTCCAAGAGGTGGAGGAGGCGGTATTAGTTCTTAACGTTCGAATAATCTTTAGTACTGCGCAAGCAATGTAAACTGTTTACATTATGACGTCGCTGCTGTCATCATTGCTTTCACGAGCAATGTGTTCTGTTTATGGGCATATTGCTGCGATATCGGCCCCGCCCCCTTGTCACATCTCCCTTTTCTGTGATCTTATTCGTTGTGACACTTGTGACCAGGTGTAGGGCGCATGCACCGGCAGACCAAGCACACGCCGCGCACGCTACAACTCTGGCTGACGTGATTCGCTGAGATGCTTAGTATCCTTCACGAGCTTCTGATGAAGGCTGAGCCGTCAGAGACTTGTACTAAGCTAAATTCCGTTCGCCGAGCGCGTAGAATTTCGTCCAATGACCCCGAGCTACCCATCCTTATCGCTCGCGCGTAATTATATTACTGTCGCGCTCGCACCAGACCAGACTTTAGCCTCGCAAGCAATGTTTTTATTTTATTATTTATTATTTTATTTATCTTATTCGTTGTGACACTTGTGACCAGGTGTAGGCCGCATGCATCGGCAGACCAAGCACACGCCGCGCACGCTGCAGCTTTGGCTGACGAGGTTCGCTGTGATGCTGAGGATCCGTCTCCACGAGCCTCTGGTGAAGGAGGCCGAGCCGTTCGGGGACTTTAGCAAGCCTGACATGTTCTATGAGGTATTTATTACGTTGTTTATTTGTAAATGATCGTTTCAGCCAAATGACGTCCACTGCTGTACAAAGGCCTCCCCCAAGGATTTCCATAATGACCGTTCCTGCGCTGCCCACATCCAGGCTCTTCCCGCGTTCCTCTTCACCAGATCGACGGTCCACCTAAGGCGGGGCCGCCCAGTGCCCACGCTACGTTTTCCGGCCCAGGGTCGCCACTCGACAACTTTTCTGCCCCAACGGCCAACATCTCTACGAGCTATATTATATTTTATGTATGTAATTTTTGTAACAGTTTCCTCTTTTTGTCTATTTTATTGGTCTGTCAACAACCGTCTTTGTACTATTGTATGTAGAGTGAAGAGCATATATCACTCGGCTACAAAATGACATATTCCTGCAATGATTTTGAACCTTACAACAAAAAGAGGCCTGATGACCTCATAAAGGTAGCAGGACGAAACTACCAAGGCAAGGCGATGTGGAAATCTTTGGGGGAGGCCTATTATGTTCAGCAGTGGACGTCCTTTGGCTGAAATGATGATGAAACCAAAAGAATGAAGTTCTAAACTAATTTAAACATGTCCACAGTTCTATCCAGACACATACGAGGGCCGTACCGGGAGCCTAGTCCCGTTCTCACTAAGGTTGCTAGTGGCTGAACTCCCGGGACACGTCGGGAAGGCTGAGGAGGCTGTGGACAGGCTGTACGCGATGATCGACGTTATTCAGAAGGTAATAGAGTGCACAATTGCATCTAGATATGTATGAGAGCTGTACTCGGAGATTATTGAGACCATGAACTAGTTGTATTCGATAACTGACGTTATAAAGCAGGTAATAAGGTCCACAGTACTATCCAGACAGGAACGAGAGCCGGAACGAGTCTGTGTGCCCTTGGACTGGCTGTAAGCGATAACTGACGTTATACAGAAGGTAATAGGGTATACAGTTGCATCTAGACAGGTATGAGGGCCACACTCAGAGATTAGTGAGACGGTGCGCAAGTTGATGCGAAAATCGACGTTATTCTGAAGGGAATAAAGTCTATAGTTCTATCCAGACACATATGAAGGCCGTACCAGGAGCCTAGACCCGTTCTCACTAAGGTTGCTAGTGGCTGAGCTGCCAGGACACGTCGGGAAGGCCGAGGAGGCCGTGGACAGGCTGTACGCGATGATCGACGTTATACAGAAGGTAATAGGGTATACAGTTGCATCTAGACAGGTATGAGGGCCACACTCAGAGATTAGTGAGACGGTGCGCAAGTTGATGCGAAAGTCGACGTTATTCTGAAGGGAATAAAGTCTATAGTTCTATCCAGACACATACGAAGGCCGTACCGGGAGTCTAGTTCCGTTCTCTCTCAGGCTGCTAGTAGCTGAGCTCCCAGGACACGTCGGGAAGGCCGAGGAGGCTGTGGACAGGCTGTACGCGATGATCGACGTTATACAGAAGGTAATAAGGTCCACAATTCTACCCTGTTTTTTTTTTGGCAGGACTGTCTCTACCCTAGTTCTGTTTAGGGAGTTCTTTTGTATGAGGAACCTACCTGCCTTTCAAGTTTATTCTGATTAACTACCCGACCCGGCTGTTAATCAGTATGAACATGTATGAAAGTGCGCTCAGTACACCGATTTGATATCAGTCCGATATCTCATACAAAAAGCAGACTAAACTATCGACTGATTAATTCTGTAAGTCTGCGGGGATTTTACGGTTTCCTATTGACTTCTGTCAAAATTGATTAAGATGATCTACACTGAACCGTTCCAGCTATGACATTGTCAGGAGGGCGCTGCTATCAATACCTGATTATTAGTTAAGATTATTGCCACGTTGGACAACCATAATATAATTGTGTCATTAGTGGGAGGGCGCTGCTATCAATACTGGGTTGTCAGATTTTGATTTTGACTTGACGTTTCAAAATCTTTGGACTATACTAACGCCATCTAAATCCACAGATGCTATCAAACCTGCGCGAGGGCAAGACAGAAGACGGCACGGGAGTCCTAACTTCTGAGCAGGATAAAGCCGAGTCTATACGACTGTGGAGCGGCCGGGAGACTAGGGTTCTGCATTCTATTGTCAACTGTGCTATCACTTTGAAGGTAACATGATTTTCTAACTTCCTCGGGAATCTCCTACTGAAAATTCGATGGTATGGATGGATGATAACATGGTCTATTCCACTTTGATCACCTGGCGGACTCCAAGTGACAGTTTGGTGTCCTTTGATCACCTATGGATAAGATGACCTGGGTGATCAAAGGGACTCCAGTTAAATTATTATTTTAGTTTTCTTTGATATTTTCTAAAAACCGCAACAAACAAATTGCAGTTCATCTTGTTATTTGGAGACAGCTAGTAAGCTCCTGAAGCTCTATATCAAGCTTTTCGAAGTACCTTTTATGAACTGACAAAAGAGGCTATCTTACAGCAGTTATCAAAACGAAAAATGAAAATATATTTATTGTCAGAATCAGACAATACAATAACTAAAAGACAGACCTCCACACTAGGCATTGCCTGTCCTGTGGGGGAAAGAATAACGATTAACAAGTAGAATTAGTATTAGTACGGCTAGGCTGAAGTGATTATTTATTTATGGAAGTAATAAATCGAAATATAAAAAGTACACAGAAGATGAAAAGGCATTAGGGATGGATGTCCTATTAACGTCAATTTAATTTGTTTCCCAGGATTACCGCCTAGCCGGCAAGATCCTAACCTCCCTCCAAGCCGAAGCATCAACCCCGAGCCAGAAGCGAGCCATCTCCAGCGCCCTCTGCCGGCTGTGGCTGCTCGCCGGACACGTCAGAGCGGCGCGGGCGCAGCTCGACGCGGGCAGGGAGGCGCGCCACCACATGTGAGTGACGTCACAGCTGACGCGAGCCATCTCCAGCGCCCTCTGCCGGCTGTGGCTGCTCGCCGGACACGTCAGAGCGGCGCGGGCGCAGCTCGACGTGGGCAGGAAGGCGCGCCACCACATGTGAGTGACGTCACAGCTGACGCGAGCTGTCTCCAGCGCCCTCTGCCGGCTGTGGCTGCTCGCCGGACACGTCAGAGCGGCGCGGGCAGGGAGGCGCGCCACCACATGTGAGTGATGTGACGTCACCGCAGGCACAGACGGCGCCGCTTGTATTGAAGAGTCAGATCATTAAGTAACGCATTTACAAACGATGCGTGCTTTCGTGAAGCCGACATCGAATGCGTTTGACGTAAACTCACACTACGCCCCCTGAGGGCTTAGGTTAAGAACTCATGACGCGTTTGTCACGGTTGCGGGCCCGCAGCTTCTGTAGAATGCAGATACTTATGTAAAAACTAATGCACAACTCACGATGCGGTTTTCGCCCGCAGCGGGCGCGGTTGTATGCGGGTGAAAATCGCGTCGTGAGTTCTTAGCCTTAGTGTGTCGGATGTCTCTCTCACAAGAGGCACTCGCTTGATAGAGCTTTTCCCGATAAGTAGACACGACCAAAAGTAATGAGAGTACAAATACAGTAATTTTACGACCATATACCTAGATTGAAATTGACAATTCAGTTAGGTAATTGACAGACACTTCCACACTTCCTACTAGGTCCGTAGTTGCGTTCATCACACTCCTCACTAGTGAACGCGTTAAAGAAATATATGATAATTTTAGTTCTTGAAAGTTTCCGCTAGGGGCGCTATACAATCCATACATTTTTTTTTTTACGCGCGCTTGATGACGACATTTGATGTAAACACACTAAGCCCTCAAATGGAAAAGCAGTCGCCCGGCAAGCGAAAGGTCGTGGGTTCAATTCCTGCTTTAGGTAGTTATTATTTCCTTGACACAATAAAATATAATGTTTGACTTGTCCTTTTAAGATGCCCCACGCCAGACGTCCGGGAGTATGTGGATATGGGACTCATCGACATCGCCAACGGGAAGTACCAGGACGCGTACAACAATTTCGCGACGGCCGCTGATCAAGAACCTACCAATATTATGGTGAGATTGTTGTTGCTTATCTTAGTTATAATAGTCTTCAGTCTTAAGAGACTTGGGGGTTCTGGGTTTGATTCCTTAAGTGTCCCACAATTGAATTGAATCCATGGTTCAAAAAAGAAATAAGACTACGCTTTGGAAACGTCTATGGCAATTTCTGACAACACTTTTTCCGCCCCTAACGACCTCTATAATTATATAAACGAACTAGGTTCAATCATTAAATAAAAAAATACAATCAAAACAATGGGGGCCTTTGGCGTAAAAAAGCGCTTGTAAGCAAAATGACGATCGCTAAGCGCTGTCACTGCTAAAAATGTGTGAAACACGTCACTATGAAGTTAGCAAACGTGTCCTCGCCGAAAACTGTTGTAGTGGTCGCTATTTTGCATAATTATGCGCTTTTATCCGTCAAACGCCCCCATTGACTTGAAGGAATGTCATATTTTATGACGTGTCTTTTCCTGAAAAAAAAAAAAAAACCTTTATGATCTGTGCTCTCAGTTATTTTTCCTGTGTTGTACAAACTAACGAATTTTCTATTTCAACTCGCAGGTAGCGAACAACATAGCCGTCTGCCTACTCTACATGGGCCGCCTCAAGGAAGCCATCGCGGTCCTGCAGAAAGCCATCAACTCCAACCCCGAGAGAGGCCTCAACGAATCCCTACTTATCAACCTCTGTACGCTGTATGAGCTGGAGTCTTCGAAGACTAATGATAAGAAACTCCATCTGTTGAGGATGCTGTGTAGGCATCGGAGTGATACGGTCCCTGATGTTTTGGAGTGTTTGAAGTTGAGCTAAAGTAGTTCAATACAGAGCCCCGATTACGGTAATTTTTAACGTTTCCAATCCAGACACGCTTCTCGATTCTGCGATACGATTGGTCGTTCAACAGCGTACGTCAGCTGTTTTGACCAATCGTATCGCAGAATCGATGAAGCGCGTCTGGATTGGAAACGTTAAAAGTTACCGTAATCGGGGCTCTGGACTAACGCGTAACTGAGTGAGTGTTTGAGTTAGGGCACAGGAGGGGTGACATTATGACGTGATAGACCAGGGGTTCCCAAACTTATTTAGTCTACTGCCCACTTTGAGAATAAATTATTTTTTAGCGCCCCCCATTTTTGTAGTCAAGAGTCGAGCTCAGTCGGTGTCTAAGAGTCCTCCTAGTAGATGACGCCTCCCAAGCCTCTACACAACGTCCCGATTTTGATTCTGGGTCTCTTACCGCCCCCCTTTAAGCCTGCAGCGCCCACAAGGGGGCGTTATCGCCCACTTTGGGAAAGACTGTGATAGACGTGAGAGCTAGTGAACGTATCGCTGTTGTATACTCGATACATACTTTATGATATCTTTGATGCTTTATGATATCTTTGGTATTAGACCATAACTTTATATTGTCTGTGGATTCATCACTCTCTTCCTCTTGGGCAATGTCTGCCTGTATTACGTGTGCTTTAGAAATAAACTGCAAGTACCAAGAATACTCTTTTTATTCATATATAACATGGTGTCAGGTGTTAAACAATACACCAGGAAGCAACCCTCAAGTGGGAAATAAGAATTACTTCAGTGTTACGAAGATACGGCGTTTTACAAAAACTGACCTCGCGGCGTGCCCTACAACCAAACATGGAGGCCCTACAACCGCCAAGAAACTTGCTTATTTCGGGACGAAATAACAACTGGAAACAATTCAGACAAATGTTTCTGTTGTATCTCGAGGCGATTGGACTTTCAACGGCGACAGAGTCAAGGAAAATAGCAATATTTCTTAATTGCGCTGGAACGGAAGGCGTGGAGATCTACAATGCCGCCAAGAGCAAAGATGGAGACCAACCTAAAGTGGAAGAAACATTGGACGACGTATTGGAGCTGTTTGACAATTACTCAGAGCCGAGAAAAGGACTGACTATCCACACATATGAACTTCTCAGAATGAAGCAAGAGGAACAGGAGAGCATTGACCATTTCATCACAAGGACAATAAACCAGGCCAAGAAATGTGAACTGGGAGAACTGTTTGAAAGAATGACTATCATGGTGATAATTATTGGATGTAAGGATACGAGCATAAAAGAAAGATTACTTCGGTTGGAGCAGTTTGATCTGAAAAAAGCAACAGAATTATGTAGAACTGTGGAGTTGGGTAAAGATCAAGTTAACATCATTGAAGGACAAAATAGAGAAAGGCTAGACATGATAAGGAGAATGAAGCAAAAGGAATGTAACTACTGTGGAAAAATACATTTGCCTAAAGCTTGTCCGGCCTACGGAAGAAAATGCAAAATATGCAACAAGTACAACCACTTCGCGTCTATGTGCAGAAACAAGAACAAAAGCTACAAACAAGGGACCGGAAACAAGAAGGAAAAGAAGATACATGAAGTCGCTCAAGATCGGGATTGCTCAAGTGCTAGTGAGGACTATAACTTAGGTAGTATAGTTACTATAGACAGTGTTAAGTCACAAAGTTGGTTGGAAATATTGAAAATTAATAATATAGAGGTAAAGTTCAAATTAGATACTGGTGCTGACTGTAACACATTACCGTTACAACTTTATAAGAAAATTAAAGGTAATAGTGTATTGAAAGATTCACAAACAGTGTTACTTGTGTACAATAAGCAAAGGTTACAAACGGTAGGTACTGTGGAGTTAGATTGTGAGTTAAATTGTAAAAGAGAGAAACTTAATTTCACTGTGATTGACTTACCTGTTCAACCAGTTATTGGATTACCAGATTGTATGAGGCTAAATTTAGTGAAAAGGTTAGAGGATTTAAAACAAGTAAATACTATAGATTGTGATAGAACCGCATTTATTAAAGAAAATGAAGATGTTTTTAAAGGGTTAGGAAGTATAGGAAAATATCAAATTAAAGTGAGAGAGGATGCATGCCCTGTTGTGAAACCTATTAGAAGAGTGCCAGATGCTTTGAAAGATAGACTGAAAGAAACTTTGGATAGTTATGAAAGTAGAGGTATAATACAAAAAGTGAGTGGCCCGACTGAATGGTGTAATAATTTGGTTATAGTGGAAAAACCTAATAAGTCTTTGAGGTTATGTTTGGATCCAAAAGAATTAAATAAATATATTATGAGGGAAAATTACCAAATACCATCACCAGAGGAAATATATAATAGTTTAGCGGGGAAGGAAATTTTTACAGTCTTAGACATGAAAGATGGGTTTTTTCAAATTTTACTAGATGATGAGAGTAAACTGTGTACGTTTGGAACACCCTTTGGCAGGTATAGATTTAATAGATTACCTTTCGGCATTACATCAGCCCCAGAGGTATTACAGAAAATAAACAACACTATTTTTGGTGATATAATGGGAGTACACATATTTTACGATGACATAATAATTGGGGGAAAAAATACAGCTGAGCATGATAAAATTTTGTCTCAAGTGATAAAAAGAGCCAGAGAGCACAATGTTAAATTTAATAGCACAAAATTACAGTTTAAGAAAGATCACGTGAAATATGTAGGTTTATACATTTCTAAAGAAGGCATAAGAGTTGACCAGGATCACGTTCAGGCTATTTTAAAGTTAGAAGAACCAAAAAACATAAAACAACTACAAAAATTTCTAGGAATGTGTAATTACCTAAGTAAATTCATACCAAATTACTCAAAAAGTACTGAACCTTTAAGAAATTTGTTGAAAAAGAATAGTGAATGGATTTGGGATTCCAATCATACATTAGCATTTAAGGAAATAAAAGAAAAATTAAGTTGTACACCAACATTAGCTATTTTAAAGAAAAAAGGAACATTAACATTGCAAACAGACAGTTCTAAAGGAGGAATAGGTGCATGTTTACTTCAGGATGGGAAACCAATTTCTTTTTATTCCAGATGTTATACTGAAAGTCAAACTAGGTGGGCTCCTATAGAAAAAGAACTTTTTGCTATTTGTGCTGCAATGGAAAAGTACCATCAGTTTGTTTACGGTAGAGAAATTATAATTGAGACAGATCATAAGCCTCTAGTGGCCATAATAAATAAAGATTTAAATAAAATTTCAGCAAGATTGCAAAGAATGGTACTCAAATTGTTAAAGTATAAATTCACTATTAAATACATACCTGGAGAAAAAATGTTTATAGCTGACTATTTGTCTAGAAATTTTATTCAAAATAATAGTAAAGAAGAGCCTACTTTAACTGAATTAGTTCATACTATAGAGCAGGACTTAATACACGGATTTGACAATGATTTACCTATTTCGGACATGAAATTGCAACAATTGCAAAACAATACTGGACTTGACAATAATTTTAAACAGATTTTGACTTGGTGTGAGATAGGATGGCCAAATAGTGATAGGAATATTCAGGACAAGGAGTTAAAAACTATATTTAAATTGAAAGAGGATGTTACTGTGAAAGACAACATTTTATATTACAAAGATAGATTGATGATACCTAGAGTGATGAGAAATGAAATGTTGAGTCGCATACATCAAGGTCATGCAGGAGTTGTTAAATGTAAATTGAGAGGCAGGAAAGTAATGTACTGGCCTGGAATGTCATGTGACATCGAGACAGTTTGTGTTAAATTGTACTACTTGTGAAAAATATAGAAACTCGAATACTAAAGAACCACTCATGTCACATGAAATTCCAGAACTTCCGTTTATGAAAGTAGCTATGGATATTTGTCATTTTGGAACTAAAGATTATCTTGTTTTAATAGATTACTACTCTAAATGGATAGAAGTTAAATTGTTAAAAAGTAAAACTGCAGAAGAAGTTATTCAAAAGTGTAAACAAATTTTTGGAATGCATGGTATACCTAAGTATGTTATGAGTGATAATATGCCTTTTAATAGTTACAAATTTAGAGAGTTTGCAAATGAATGGGAGATAAAGTTAATAAATTCAAGTCCTAGATATCCTCAGTCGAATGGAATGGCAGAGAAGGCTGTAGGTATAGTGAAAGGTATTATGAGAAAATGTAATGACACAAACACTGATTTTCATTTGGGTTTGTTACACTACAGGACTACACCTGTAGCAGGGTTGGAGTATAGCCCTTCTGAATTACTAATGAACCGTCTTTTGAGAACTAACTTACCTTGTTCTAAAAATATTTTGAAACCTAACATACCTAAACATGTTCAAGATAAGATGTCTATTGTTAAAAATAAGTCTAAAATTAACTATGATAAAACTGCTAAATGTAAACATGATTTTGCTATGGGAGAAAATGTAACGATTCAAAATGTACCAGAGAGAGAGTGGAAATCAGGGAAAATAATGAGTAAAGTGGGACCTAGGTCATATAAAGTATTAAATACAGAGGGGAATTGTGTAGTAAGAAACAGTAAACATATAAATAAAAGTACAAATAAACTAAAGATTAAAACAGATAATTTTTTGGATGACTATGATGTAAAATGTGATAGAAATGAACAAAAATTACAGTTTGAAAATAATGTAACTTCTGATAGTGTACCTAATATAAGTTCTAACTATTATACTACTAGATCTGGCAGGCAAATTAGAAAACCCCAACGTTTTAAAGATTTTGTGTAATTCTGTGTAACTTAAATTTTATGTTAGAGCGGGGGATGTTGTATACTCGATACATACTTTATGATATCTTTGATGCTTTATGATATCTTTGGTATTAGACCATAACTTTATATTGTCTGTGGATTCATCACTCTCTTCCTCTTGGGCAATGTCGGCCTGTATTACGTGTGCTTTAGAAATAAATAGAAAGTACCAAGAATACTCTTTTTATTCATATATAACAAAGGCCAAGGTTAGTAACAACAGACATGTGTTAAGATGTTTGTCCAGATGTTTGCAAAGATCTTTGTAAAGATTCATACACCGCGCATGGCAAAGGTAAGAAACAGATATTTGCAAAGATGTGCAATTAATACTGTTTGTATTAGTGCGAAAGTGTTGTAAATTAATTATAATGACGGTTTAGGAATCATTTCCACAGAAATCATTAATGATTAATGGCATTGTCCACAGGTGAAGAAGGGCCAGGAAGTGACAGACTACCGTTTCTTCATCCGGTCCATCATCAGGCATCAAGACCTCATCACCAAGGAGGCCAGTTTCGAGTACCTACAGAACGAGGGCGAAAGGTAATTTTTGTTGTAAAAATCATGCAGTATCTGGCTCAAAGGACCATGATCATTGACATGGACAATGTATGACATTTGTATAGATTTGTATACGAAGGAACATTTAAAAAAAAATGAACAAAAATAAAACAATATTATAATGTGGCTCATAAAAATAGCAGGAAGGCGCTGGATGCAGGACGCAACCGGTCATTATGAAAATCATTCCTGTCAACGTCATATCTGAGACAGCTCAGTGTTGTCCAGCTATATTTTTTTCAACCATCAAATGACCATTTTGGCACATTTTTCACTGAAGAATATGTTTTCTAACGAGGGAGATGGTAAATAATAATATACTGTGTACCTGGAATTAGGCAAAAAAATAAATTTGATATGATTTGAAAAGGGTAGTATTTAAACGAGTGACTATAAATTTATGTTGTAAGTGTCAAAAATAATTAATGTGGGCTAAAGAATTACTAAGTGAGCGACTGAGTGCGAGTGACGAAAAATCAAAAGAGCAGCAACTTACAAAAAAGAATTGAGTTCCTTAAAATACAAAATGAGAAGCTTCATAATATTTGAGCGACCTAATATTTGATTGAGTGTCAACGTAAAGTCCTGCATTTTTTTCAATATTTGGCAAAAGATTTTTTTATACTGAGCGGTATTTTTAACTTTAATGAAGTGTTTCGAATGCAAAAACTACTTTGAAAAATACTATTATGAGCAGCGTATTATGAGCCCACATTTAAATAAAAATAAATGATCTTTGAAATAAATATTTGACGGAACACTATTCTAGTAGCGAAAAAAAAAATCATTAAAATTTAAGGGTAGGTAATCAAATGAAACAATGTATTACGAAAAATGAAATAAATTTGTATTTTCTTAAATCGAATCAACAAAAAAAAAACAAAATAAAATGTAAGTCGCTTCTGTCAACCCAAAAAAAAGTAATCTTATTAATAAGGTTCATTGATTGGTACCTATGAGGATTGAGGAGCTCTACCTACTCATCGTCACTGTATGATAAGTGCTGGCTTGGACTTAGCGGGCCGGCCTCGTTTTCTTTTTTGTCCAATAGGTATCAGTTTTGCTTCCAGTGGCGGTNAAATGTGTTTTTCTTTAACCTCGTAAGACCGAAGAGCAAATTTTGTCGACTTCTAAGTATCGCCGAATGTGCTTTCAGAAGAACGAACAATTTGAAGTCGTAAACGCCGAGCACTTCGAGTAAAAAATTTTCTATGTTAGAGATTTTCTTTTGCACCCATATTTTCAGGGACCCTATATAATAGTGCATAGAGCTTATTTTAGGTAAAAAATAATAAAAAAATGTTTTCTCTTAAAAGAACATTCGGTATTACAGACTTTAAAAAGAAAAAGTAAATAAATTGTATTTTATACTTTAAAGTAAAACATATGTATACCATGTTTTAAGCAAATAAATAAATTATCTTATCTTATCTTATCTTATCATAAATGTAACCTCCTTAATAAATTAATACTACATAAAGTTACAATAATGATATAAATAAATGTAACTGAAAAGGCACAAGTATTTTAATTTTATTTAATGTTTCATTATTAGTACTTTTAAAAGTACTATCGGTTTTATAACATACAATAATGATAGGTTAGTATGTGTAAGAAGTAAAGTGAATATTCATGTTAATTATAATATTTCTTAAACTAAAAATCAGAACGTTCTCATGGTAAATTTTCTCAATCATATCATAATTTTAAAAGTCCAATATTCAATCCATCTTAATAGAAAAAATATACAAAAATAAAACTTTCACCATCAAGACCGAATGTTCCTTGCAAAGAACTATTATTTTCAAACGAAAAAAAATCTTACAAAACTTCTTCGAATTGGTAAAAAATTTTTTTTGCTTGTTTAGCAGTATTTTAACTTAAATTATACTGGTTAGTTTTTCAATTAAACTACGTTTACGAGAAGAAAAAAAATTAATCGTACATCACGTCCTCTCGAAAGAACCACCTTGTCAGAGAAAAATGATAATTTGACAGTGACATTTTGTTTTTTTTACATTAATAAGTTCGGATACCTGATTTTGAATACTTTAAGCCATAGACTATCACTCTTTTTATTCAATAGGCGCGAATTTTTGAACTTAAAATTATCGCTAAAGTTTTAGTTCCTCTGAGGGCACATCCGGCGATACTTACAATTCACNAAATTAACTTTTTTGTAGTTCGTTCAGTAAAACCTCAATTAGAAAAATCTAATGTATCTTCATATTAAAGTTGCCCTCTCTGTATTTCTAGTCGCTCACTTAGTAATTTAGTCGCCCGGATAGTATTTTTATGTCTGAAATGTAATAATCAAAACCCACATTTTGTAAGCTCGTTCTGGATTTTATTATTTATCAATATTCGTCGTTAGTTTGGTTAATTTTTCGCTTACTCAAATTCATACCGCTCAAGGTATTAAAACAGTATGCCATCATCAGTCGCAAAGTTTTTTTTTAGTCGCTCGTTTTATAATTCCCCATTTGAAAATACCTGATAGATTTTATTTGTATACTTACTAAAACTTTATCTACAGGGTGTTGCTAGAGGCTATGGACGAACTCGAAGTGGCATTCTCTCACCCGCTAGCAAAGAGGACCGATTGCAACCACATCTTCTTGAACTTCGGGCCGACGGTCATCATGGACCCTGCTAAGGTCAGTTAATAAAGGTCATCATCATCAGGTCATTTAGTCTCCACTGCAGGAGCACGCCTCTAATTGACCAGAGGCAAGAGGATTTGTCCTACACTCCCCACGCTGGCCAGACGGGTTGGGGAGGCCTGATGCTCGCATATTTGTCCCTTAGTCGCCTCTTACAACATCCACGGGAAGAGTGAGGGCGGTCCTTTTCTTCTCCATTAAATCAAAAGTTATTTCCATTTGGCATTTTTTTTTCTCTTGCCTGTTATAAAACACCAAAAAACAGGATAACACTATCCTGTTTTTCCTTTTCAAAACGATCTATTCCAATTTTAATCTGCTCAATGGCTTAAACGTGAGAAGGGAATAGGCAGATTAACATAATTACTATCGCATTAAATATTAGTATGAATGGTGTGCGGTTTCCACCAAACAATCCACTACTCGAGAAAAACTCTCCCAAGGATTTTCATATCGACCGGTCCTGCGCTTCCCGCGACCTTCACCCGATCGTCGGTCCACCTAGTGGGAGGTCACTCGAGAACTTTTCTGCCCCAACAGCTCTACGAGCTATATCAGGCCTGTTCATCTCCGCGAGTTTACATCGAAAACAAAACACGCACGATGGCCCACCTACAGGATACTATTCGACAAGGCCTCACATACGAGCGAACATTGACTCACGCACGCGTATTTTTGTGTATGATGGAAAAAAAAAGAAAATGGTGTACTAAATACTGTGCAGTATTTAACTGCCTAAATAATAATAAAAACACAGAATGTACTTTTTTAAGGTGCCTCAAGACACTGAGAGGTAAATAAGTAGTTAATATATTATTCATGCTAAATCATGTATTTCCTCCGCCATTTTCCGCAGTTTGGCACCTCACGTCACATCATTTTACCGAAGTCAGCCCTATAGCTTCGGCGCAGTGCCGATCACTGACGTTTGTCAACAAAATGGTGCTTGACTGTTGAGACAGGCTAAATTACACCATATTGTTAATGACATTGAGCATACATTTTTTTAAATACCTTCGCGAAGTAAAACTTATTATTATTCTGTGGCTATATGCCCTGCCCACTGCCATTTAACTTTGCCAATCCTACTGTTTCAGTAATAAATTGTATAATTTAATTTATTTCTCAGATCGAAGAATCAGTGCTCGGCATGGTGATGAGATACGGACCTAGGCTGTGGAAACTCAGGGTTCTGCAGGCTGAGATCAGATTCACTCTGAGGATCGGTAAGTTATATCCTAATATAATAACGTAACTTACTTTTTGTGTTTGTCGACTCAGATCTTGTTATATGAACCAATTTGGAAAAAAAATGAAAGCTAAAGCCTGGTCCGTGAGCACGTAGAATCCCGTCCAATGACCCCAAGCTACCCATCCTTATCGCTCGCGCGTAATTATATTGCTGTCGCGACTGTGCGACGCGCGCCCGCAGTGAGTGTGCGAGCGCGACAGCAACATAATTACGTGCGAGCGACAAGGATGGGCAGCTTGGGGTCGTTGGACGGGATTCTACGTGCTCACGGACCAGGCTTTAAATAATCCTAGTTTCACCTCCAGTTAGACCAGGGTTCCACCAAGGCGGAGCAGAGAAGTGTTTTGAATAACCAATCAGATTTAATTTATTTATTTCCACTTCTCCGTACTTCGTTCTGCCTTGGTGAAAACAGGGCCTTAGACATCTGCCTACGACATAAGATATTGATTGCGTGCCGTTCAGTCAGAGTAAATACAAATGAGTAGGTCAACTTCATAGGAACGCACGGGCGCGGTTTGTATGTGAGCGCGCCAACACGTATGCGGCGCGCACGCACACACTGACAAAATTTAGCGGGGATTAGCGGGGAGTTGCACCGGTCAGTGTGTGCGTGCGCGCCGCATACGTATATTGGCGCGCTCACATACAAACCGCGCTCGGTGCGTTTCTATGAAGATGACCTACTCATTTGTATTTACTCTGGTTCAGTGGCATAAGCTGTAATCAGTCAACTTTTATCACATTGTGACTGTCTTTTGTCATGTATTCTAGACTTTTGGCTTCCTATATTTTGTTTCCTTTCTCTTCAGCCACATAACAGATGATTTTTAACTATATTTTATTACTTCCTATCACCATAGGACCCGGAGCGCCTACCAAGAACGTGAGACTATGCTTGTCCAACGGATCCGGCTACTCTCTGGACATTTACACCTACGAAGAGGTCTCCGATCCTAGGACAGGAGTGGTGAGTGAGACAAATCTTTTTTTAGTCATTAAAGAGTATAGTTGTTGCAATTCACGAAGGCGAGTGAGTTTTACACGTGTAGTGGCTCGCTACTGTTCGTTTGTCAAAAGTTTTGATAGACATTACACTATCGTTATTGTGCATGTACCATCGGCAACAGTGTTAACTACCTATTGCCTGTCATGTCGTCTCGTTCTATCGCAAAGAATCACCATTTGATGAGAGCAAGAACAAAAACGGAAATGGATAGTTAACAGTGTGGCCGTGTGTACATACACAAAGCTCACTCGCCTTCGTGAATTGCAAGCACTATAATTGTTTTTGAAACTTAAGTCTTAAGGCTATAGATGACCCACGCTGAACTGTCCCACCAAACTCAATGACAGGGGGGCGCTACCATCGTTCAACTATATGGTTTCCAACATGGCAAAAATCGGAACCAGCGATCCGGTATTGACGGTGGCGCCCCACTGTCAATGTCATGGATAGGACAGTTCAGTATTTTGGAACTCTATAAACTTCAAGTTCAATTGTCACTTTAAACTCATATTTATCACACTTGAAATCATTTTTCATGTTTTTGAAACTTAACTCATAATTAAAGGCAATAAAGTCCAAATTCACTCTAAACTAATTATTTAACTTGCAGATAATGTTCCACTCATACGGAGCCCGCCAAGGCCCTATGCACGGCCTGCCGATATCCACGCCCTACGTCACCAAAGACTACCTGCAGCAGAAGCGGTTCTTGGTATGTTCTGAATACTGCTATTTATTCTTATTACTTCATGTAATTATTACAAAAATAGTATAAAAAAAGTTAAATTATATCCGGCTCGAAGGACCATATTTAAAATATTTAAAAAAATATCCGGCTCGAAGGACCATATTTTTTGGGCTGAGGGATATAGATGCGGGGCGCCTTCAATAAACTGTATTATTTGATTGGTTGTTTGTATATTTACACTACTTCAGTGTGCTTAGTGTGTCGTTACATTTAACGTCGTTGTTAGCGAGTGTGGCAAAAAATTTTATGAAGATTTTAGTTCTTGAAACTATCCGCTAGGGACGCTGCATAACCTGTCATACATTTCATGCTATTTTCGATAACGTTTGGTGTAAACTCGCACTAAGCACACATGCCGAGTTCGATTTACACAATTAATTTCTATTATTCGTAATGTTTTCTATAATAATTAATATGTAAAATAAAAAGATAAGTTTTTTAGATCTGTATTTCGACGGATTCGGATCGGACGTATTGTGAAATTGCCCTTACATCTATAACACTAGTTTAACTCAATCTGGGTCTAGATGGCGCAGTGAGTTAAATGACCTAGAATTTATTATTATTATTTTACAACAGGCGACGTCCCAAGGCACGACGTACGTTTACGACATGCCTGACATGTTCCGTCAGACCGTTGAAAAGAGGTGGAGAGAATGCATCGAAGAAGGAACCGTCGACGGTAAGTCACATGCACAAGAAAGAGCATGCAAAAGCAGGGAGACATTACCTCAAATATTCATCACTAAGGCCCAGAACATACGCTGAAACGCAACTGCTACGAAACTGCAACTTTCTGATGATTCTGATGAATGAAACTGAAAGTTTCAAACTGGTCGCGTCATGTGTGGTCTCTCAACGGACGCTATGGCAGAAACTTAGTAGATGCAACTCAAAAGTAACTAGCAGTTGCAGTTTCGTTGCAGTTGCGTCTTCACCGTCTGTTCTGGGCCTAACGGCCCATACGTTACTAAACCTTTTTTGTCACCTGTCATCCGCTTTGAAGTCGAACCTTAACTTCGAACTCCTCCTATGTTCTTCTGATTAATTTCGTTGCGGGTCCAATTACAGTTTAACTTTTCCCCGGGACACACTTTGCCTTCACTGGTTGTGTTATTGGCGGTCAAGCTGTAGATCCTGGCTACACAAGAGTTGCAGTGTTGGGAACGAGAGGTGGGATTAGTGCCGTAAGAGCCCCACGCGATTTCGTACACGTGGACCCCGCTTTACCCCCTTGAGGGTTGAATTTTGAAAATCCTGTCTTAGTGAGCACCTACATTCTAAAAGGAACCCCCATGCAAGAGACTCCTAGCACTTGTTATTTGTGAGATTTCGTGTAGAGTGAGTTAGTCAGTGACCTTTCGCGTTTATATAGATTTCAGCCACAGGACGTTCACTGCAGAACATAGGCCTCCCCAAATATGTGCCCAGCCTATTATCACTTCAGCTTGCTATGTCACTGTATTTAAGCTATAACAAAATGTATTATTTATCCAGGTCCGATGCCAGACAACGTCATGAGCAGTGTGGAGCTAGTCATAGAGCCAGACGGCGAAAGACGAGTCGTGGAAGTGACAAGGCTGCCCGGACAGAACACTGTAAGTTGGCTTTTTGAAGTTATAGATCCGGCTCGAAGGACCAAAATAAAATTAAATGTTTATTTATTTATTTGAACACCAACAAGGTTACATTGAGGCTTCACAAAAGTAACTATAAAAATGACACTTGTTAAATGCAAACTTAATTATAGGTGAAAACATCGTGCGTTAGAGACTAAAGCAACAGCAATTAGGGGTTAAAAACTGAAAATATTTAATATGGTGTAAAGAAGTCCCTATGCTTGTTCAAATCGGTGAGATTTGTCCAAGCATGTGGACTTGCATTACATTATTTTTCTTCCTAGGTCCCTCACTGATGAGGGTCGCGATCACATACAGTGTTCTACAGACTGCGGTCATAAGCCTCGAAAGCGAAAGTTTTTAATAATGTGCTTATAAATAACAAAACAATCATCATCATCAGATCATTTAGTCTCCACTGCATTAGCACGACCCTCTCTAATTGACCAGAGACAAGAGGATTTGGCCTACACTCCCCACGCTGGCCAGACGGGTTGGGGAGATAAGAATACAATGTTTTTGTCCACAGGTGGGCATGGTGGCGTGGCGTCTAACCCTCTTCACGCCGGAGTGCCCCGATGGCCGAGACATCATCCTGATCGCCAACGATCTGACGCACTTCATGGGGTCTTTCGGACCACAGGAAGACTGGGTGTTCTACAAGGCATCGCAGTACGCGAGAGAGCGGAAGATTCCTAGGGTAAATAATTGTTTATTGTTATACACAATATTGGTCAAAATATACATGTACAGTCGCAGAATGAAAAGGTTCGTCACCTTAGTGTCGGTTTTCGCTTGCACTAGGTACTGTAAGAGTCAAACCTGCCAACATAACAGTGCAAGAAACAGTGCTGCTAACATTTAAATAAATATGACGTTTGCTAACAAATAAGGTTTTGCTTGTCTAATTTTCTATCTCATCAGTGCAATGCAATGATGACATTGACCAATTGACAATAGTTTTTTTTATTTAATAGAAATAATAATGGCAGGTTGAACCAACAAGAAGGTTTTAGTTTATCAATCATAATAATCTTCTTGACAAGATAAATCGTCAAACAACTTTGATCTGGATAATTTTGAACTTTACTGACGAACAGTTAAAGATTATTTTCTCTAACTCGAGATTAGTCTGTAACATAGTTTCAAAAGGTAATATGTGCTCGCGATTCGTTGAAGGAATCAATTTGAAAACTGACGAACCTTTCCATTCCGTGACTGTACATTCTGAGTTATTTACACCCCAAATAGATAGGGTGTATTATAAAATCTTGCTTAAGAAGTGAATATTTCTAGGGTAATAAGTTTAATAATTGTGAAAAAAAATTCTCAAATGACAAAATGTTCGTCATTCATAGACTAGCTCATATCATGGTGTTATTTTGATCCCAAGTGTGTGTACTATAATGGCTGCATATTGTTTATTATTATTTTGATATATTTGAACGCTTACACTTTGAACTAACTATAATTTCAGTTTGCAAAGATTCAGCCACTTTTGTCAGCTTTCAGCGTTGCCACAATAATGAAATGTATCTTAAATTGTACAGAATATAACACAAGTCAAATTGTGACGACTTATATCGTAGTAAAATGTGTCATTTTGTAACAGAAATGTATACTCTGATGTATTTATTATTTTAATTCACAACAAGAAAGCTCTTGACCTGCATTTCACCTGTGGAAAGTGACGATCAGGCCGAAGGTGGAAGCGAGCTTCACCCGGAATCCTCTAAAACCGGGTATCTTAACTCCAATTTCCGGAACACAAAAAATAAAACCTTAACCTTAATTTATTAACGCTTCTGTGGTCTAGTAGTAATACCACTTGCTTCAGACGCAGAGGTCCCGGGTTCGATTCTCAGTGGGGGCAGATTTTTCTGTTCGGTTTGGTTGGTGTTAGGGCTTGTTCTAAGTCCGCCTGGCTAGCTACCACCATCTTACCTAAGTCTGTCGCCATAACAACAATGTTAACAGCATCAGTTAGAGGTATGATAGCCAGTTCCTCCGTGGTTGAGGATTCCGGGTGAAGCTCGCTTCCACCTTCGGCCTGATCATCACTTACCATCAAGTGACCAAGAGCTTCCTCGTTAAAAAAACCTTTTTTTCCACAGATATACATAAGTGTCAACTCCGGTGCCCGGATAGGCGTGGCCGAAGAGGTGAAATCCGAGTTCAACGTGGCCTGGGTGGACGCCGAGCGGCCCGAGCGAGGTTTCAAGTACCTGTACCTCACGCCCGAGGCTTTCTCCAAGCTGGGCGCCGTCGGGGCCGTGAAGACGTGCCTAGTGGAAGACGACGGCGAGCCGCGGTACAAGATCACCGACGTCATCGGTGAGCGAGCGGGATAGATAGATAGATAGCGCGCTGGGGCGAGAGGGAGATAGCGCGCACTCGGGCGCTGTAGGAGGCTTAGTAGAGAGTAGAGAAGTTAGCGCTAGAGACACTATTATAGGAGACACTGACTAAAGTAAGCCGCGGTACAAGATCACCGACGTCATCGGTGAGCGAGCGAGACGGGTGGATGGCGCGCTGGAGCGAGAGGGAGACAGATTGATGGCGCGCGGCTGGAGAGAGAGGGAGATAGATAGATAGCGCGGGAGCGAGAGGGAGAAAGTAGACAGACGGCTCATGGGGGGGCGCTTGTAGGAGTAGAATGAGGAGCGCTAGACCTATAGGAGACACTAAGGTAAGCGCTAGACCTATGTGACACTGACTAAGGTAAGCGCTAGACCTATGGGACACTGACTAAGGTGAGCGCTAGACCTTTGAGACACTGACTAAGGTGAGCGCTAGACCTATGAGACACTGACTGAGGTAAGCGCTAGACCTATGAGACACTGACTGAGGTAAGCGCTAGACCTATGGGACACTGACTAAGGTGAGCGTTAGACCTATGAGACACTGACTGAGTGAATGCTGGACCTATGAGACACTGACTAAGGTGAGCGCTAGACCTATGAGACACTAAGGTGAGCGCTAGACCTACACGAGTCAAGTCCTCGTCCGACGTGGCCTGGTGGTCCGAGCGGCCCGAGCGCGGCTTCAAGTACCTGTACCTCACGCCCGAGGCCTGCTCCAAGCTGGGCGCCGTCGGGGCCGTGAAGACGCGCCTGGTGGAGGACGACGGCGAGCCGCGCTACAGGATCACCGACGTCATCGGTGAGCGGGATGGGTAGATAGATAGCGCGCTGGGGCGAGAGGGAGAGGGAGAGATGGACGTCACAGAGACGACGGAGTAGGGGCACCTGACTGAGCGCTAGACTTATAGGAGACACTAAGGTGAGAAGCGGTACAAGATCACCTACGTCATCGGTGAGCGAGCGAGACGGGTGGATGGAGCGAGAGGGAGACAGATTGATGGCGCGCGGCTGGAGCGAGAGGGAGATAGATAGATAACGCGCTGGAGCGAAAGAGAGAGGTGGACGTCACAGAGACGGCGCAGTAGGAGACACTGACTGAGTGAGCGCTAGACTTATAGGAGACACTGACTGAGTGAGCGCTAGACTTATAGTAGACACTGACTAAGGTAGACGCTAGACCTATAGGAGACACTGGCTAAGGTAAGTGCTAGACCTATAAGACACTGACTAAGGTAAGCGCTAGACCTACAGGAGACACTGACTAAGATAAGCGTTAGACCCATAGGAGACACTGACTAAGTTAAGCATTAGACCTATGACAGACACTGACTAAGGTAGACCCAGGAGGTCGCGTCCTCGTCCAACGTGGCCTGGTGGTCCGAGCGGCCCGAGCGCGGCTTCAAGTACCTGTACCTCACGCCCGAGGCCTGCTCCAAGCTGGGCGCCGTCGGGGCCGTGAAGACGCGCCTGGTGGAGGACGACGGCGAGCCGCGCTACAGGATCACCGACGTCATCGGTGAGCGAGCGGGATAGATACATAGCGCGCTGGGGCGAGAGGGAGATAGATAGATGGCGCGCGGCTGGAGCGAGAGGGAGACAGATAGATGGCGCGCGGCTGGAGCGAGAGGGAGACAGATAGATGGCGCGCGGCTGGAGCGAGAGGGAGACAGATAGATGGCGCGCGGCTGGAGCGAGAGGGAGACAGATTGATGGCGCGCGGCTGGAGCGAGAGGGAGACAGATTGATGGCGCGCGGCTGGAGCGAGAGGGAGACAGATTGATGGCGCGCGGCTGGAGTATACATTTTTATATTTTACTTGGAAGAAGATATGACTCTAACAACACTTATGTACACTTTATTTGAATAAATCGCCAAATATACCACCGCGGAGACCCCAATCGCGTCTCTGCGTGCCATTGAATCGTATGAGCGTATGGATTTTTTGCGTTATTTTTCACAATTTCCATTTTTAAAAATTACCTATCGATAGCTTACTTTATTCTGATGAATAAATGTCATTACAAGTTTTTCTCTAAAACTGATAATTTGGCTAGAAAAAAATATTTTCTATCCACGCAGTACGCCGGCAGCGTTCGGATCGGATATAATGACGTCATCGTCCCCGCGCCGGGCGGTCAGTGAACTTTTTTAGTAATTTGGCCATAACTTCGTCAATTTTTGTCGTAGAACAAAAATTTTTGCACTGTGTTTTAAGTATTTCTTAGCCCTATAAATCTGCATTCACAGCTAAAAATCGAAATGATCCTCATTGTGAACTATTTTATTATTCTTATAGTTTCCTTCCAGAGCTATTGTAAGCTTTACCATCAATAAGTCCAAACAATGAAGATGAGTAGTAGACTGAGAGGAGTCACGATTTTCAATTAGTTACTATTGTATTTTTATTTTCAGGCCGAGGCTGAAAAGATAGTTGCTTGTCGAGACGATAGCAAAAGCTAAATGGAAGAATAGAAACAGCTATGAAGATAAATTATAAACACTAGATTTGGCTTTGTAATATTATGAGTGACGAAATTATATTTATGCTAACAAATCTCATACATTTCGTAGGTTACATCTCTTTTGTCTTACTTAATACTTAACTGGTTACCTTTTGTTGTATTTTATTGAAAATTGTTACCATATTTTTGATACTTTCAAAGAATATTGTATTTTGCATATCAGTTTGTTATTTTAGAATGATTAGGCGATCGGTCCGAGTTTTAGAAATAAGTATGTTTTCTTCACACAAACGAAAACTTGGCTGGACATGTTTGTGTGAAGAATTTAAGTATGTTTAAAATAAAACAGTTAACTTGTGGGTATACTTTGTTTATTAAAATCCTTTCCACCTCCATCTTTACAATCGTTCCTTTAACTTAAATGAGAGTGGGGATGAAGTACTCCACATTATGGTATTATGACCCTTGAAATGTTAAAATTACAGGTAATTTTAATTACATAGTATGTGCCATTGATAGTGCGCTTTTGGCAGATATTTATACAAATATTAATTAACCAAAGTGAATGTTGATTAAAAGTTTGTTAATATTATTTTACTCATTAAGTATTTTGTTTAGACTTAAACATAAGACAACCGTTGCTTGTAATTTTTTTGTTAGCACCATAATAAATAATAACAATTATCAGTTTACGATTAAGTTTACATTTTTGGAATTTTACCTTCCTTTTCCAAAAGCGCACTTAACATTTGATAAACTTTAAATTATTCCAAGAAATATCTTGAAGTAACGTTACATTAAACTCTGGTCGAAATGTTATGAGATATGTCGACGATGTTTTTCAGGATGATATAATTGACTTCTATTCAAGGTACTTCACGAAGAGCTTTGATTATGTTAGTAATCTAGTGACGTTTTATAAAAATTTATTCGATTTATCTTTCCTTAAAATATTGATGTGTCTTTTAAACATTGTCGTGAGAGTGGAATGAACTCTTCGGTCAGCATACCCTACAATTTCAGTCGCCGCATACTTTACATCAGTAGTTATTACCCGCATCTTGCAATTCGCAAGGTAAATGTACGCGGCAATTTCTTTAAAAATTGCATCCTGATTTTCAACGGGTCCTAACAAGTTAATGTAGAATATTTAAAAGGTTAAACTACATGCTTCATCACAGCCCAAGAATATCTAATAAGGATATATCTAAATGAATTCCATAAGGTTTATACGCCGAGTGCTATACCAATGTCAAGCTATTCATCCAACAACCTAAGACCACCGAAAAAAGGGACGGAAATAGAAAAATGAGCAAGAATCGTAAAACAAACCAGATGAGATACAGAGTAGCCATTTGAAACGCTCTACCTTGGGCAAGGTGTTTGTCACCCTGATACCCGAACACTGAGATTATGACATAGACACGTTGTAGGTACACATATTTCATAATAGAGACATCGATTTAATAGTACGCTTCTTAAGCAACTGACCACGAAACCCATTACTTCTTTGGTAGCTTTTCATTAAATATCCAATTGAGTGTACCATTTCCTTAAATCCCGATACCGATTTGCCACACCTATCTTAGTCATCTAACAAGCGTACTACTTTCTTGAGTATAATATTGAATAATATTTACAGTGGTGACATATAGACATAGAAGAGTCGACCAAATAAACATTGATAAAATCTTAACAGATTTTTATAATAGTAGTAATATTTAATATAGTCAACTGTACAATGAGCGACACAGGTGTAGAAAGTTGTAGGCCCAACTATATACACATTAAACACGTACCTTTTTCATATTTAAAATCTCGAGATGATCTCCAAATATACCTTTATACATTACGATATCATCCAGATAGAATATTCGTTAACCTTTTTTTAATCGTGTTTTACAGTAATGCTTTAGAATCATTTACAATAAGGGCAAGTTATAATCCGTTTGGCATTTAAAATTGTTGTCACAATTAGCATAATTTATTCGTGACTGATTTTTCCAAGGTAAAATAATTTAAGTGAGGTCTGATAATAATCAATGCATCTCTCCAGATTTTAAATAGAAATTACAAATCCTAATCTTTATACCTAATTTCTATAAAATGTATGATTAACGTGTTATAAATTCCGTTTGTCTTATAGACGAATTTTCTTACATAGATCGTAATAAATAAAACTTAGTCGATATAGGTCTAGGCCATCATACATAAAATGTTACCGTATCCTGACTAGGTGTTCTATGCACTAATAGTTTGATTAATGAATTCTATTGGCTAATAGATATTTTTTTGTGGTTTTCGGCTTGCACGGCTTGTGCTTTCGCCATAATACTTCACATTCACTGACTATGCTCATGATTAACGTTATCATGTCATTGAATCATATACATACTATACACATTTATTCATTCTCTTACGCAAAATCCACGTTAAAAAAGGATCCATGCATAAATCATTGTTTGCTTATGAAATCTATCCCAATAATAGTCTACAAGTCCACAAGAGA